TTATGTTCAGTGAACACGAGTTGCTCTTTAACTTTCTGAGCGTAGTGCCGATAAATGAACAAACATCCCTCTGGAAGGCCAATGGGATTATTTTGTTTTGCACATTCAAGTGGCCGCTAGAACAACTGCAGAGCAAACACAGGTTTGCATGTAATGCGGTTTGCTCAGTGCAGAATTAAAACCCACTCCAGCTCAATTGTGTTTTCTGTCTGCTCCACAGATGACAGAGCAGCGGAAGAACAAGCAAAGGCTTGGATTCCTGGGTCCTTCACAGCACAACCACCATCACATCCCGACACACTGAGGAAGGGAGAACCGCTCAACAGATGCCTGCAAAATCAGGAGCTGCACCGACGTTGGCCATAAGAACAACCTGCACCTTTAGATATGTTCATACAACCACCAGAGTCGAACTGCAAGGAGGCAGCAGGAAGGGTTCGGCTTGATGCCTTGGCTATGCCTTTTTAGATGCTCTTTATGCCTTTTGTGCCCAGTCAGCTGTAAGACAGAGTCCAGATCTACCACTATGGTGTTCGTATGCCGTGTAGGAGGTCTAAGGAAACGTTAGAATGAGGTGAACGTGTCGGTGAGTGGATCATTGGTGCAACACTCCGCACCAATATCTTCCTTTCTCAGATTTTGGTGTGAGGATGGCGCACACTCTGTTAAAGTATTCTCCTCTTTACCCCTTAGGTTCATTTTGATATTTATGGGAACATTTCCCATTTATAACTGGAGTATTATTTTTATGTTCTGAGATGAAATCATGCTGCCTTACTGTTTTGTTTTGTTTTAATAAACAGCACACTGCAACGTCTGTAAGTGCACTTTTTTTAAGAAAGGGAAAATGTTATACTGGATGTATTGGTTTGCTCGGGATGTCACATTTGATCGTTACATTTGGTGTTGCGTTCAGATATGCATTCTCTGTACCTCTTCAGTTGCCTTTTACAGATTTCTATGCTTTGTAAATGTGAATAAAAATACTGATAACCTGTGGAAAACGTACTTGAATTTTCCTGAAAATCTTATTTCTGCTAAAGGATGTAGTGAGGGAGGATGAAAGCCTCACTTTTCTTTGTTACATCTCTGTCTCTATAAATATTCCATCTTTTACCAGAATCTTTGCATAATTTACCCCTATCATTCATGTCTGTTCTTTTGTTGTAAAATCGTTGCCACTATAGCAGCTGATTCCTAAATCAGAACTTGTTTGTCTCGCACAAACTAACAGCACAACTGCATATAAGTTTAATTGCGAATGTCCTGACACTTTCTGCTCAGTGTACAGAAAATCTATTTTATCTGCTCAGATGGTCTAATAAATTTGTAACAACAGTTGTGTGTAAATGGCTCAATCTTTTCTCATTCATGTTATAGGTTTTGCTTTTTTCCCCAGACCACCTCTGAGTTCACTTTCTCTCATTTGCACCCAATTACCAGATGAAATAACTGTCCTCATTTACACAAACAGTGCATTTCAGCTCATGCAGTATGTGTACTCCTCATAATAAAATTATACATGATGCTTTTGTTCAGTTCTTGTTGTAATTGCAGTTTTGCCTGTTGTCAGACCACTCTTTACAAATTTAAACATGGCAAATACACGTGTTTAACACCTGATTAAAACAAAACATTTTATTACACCTGCCTGACTGGATTTTTTATAATTAAATCATTAATTTAAGAAAACGTGAAGAAATGTGGGGAAAAAACCCCCTTATGAAATTAATTCATTCATCAAAATTACCTCAGATATTGGTGCTCTTTTCCAATATCTGTGCTTGGGAAAGCAAAGATATTGGTGTTGTTTACACTGGCAGGACTATATGACTTTCTCTCTTCCCTGACACAAAATGTCAGCTCAATAATTCAAAACTAAGTTTACTTCTGGGATTCTGTTCAAAAAGTAAAGCTAAAACAAATGCACGAAATAACTTTGTTTTATGTAACAGTTTGGTGTTTCTCATACATCCTGCTAAAACGAAGCAAAATCATAACTATTAGCATAATGTTTAATTCCTTTTATTTATCATGGTGCTCTTGAGTTTTTGAGCCTTCCCATGATTGAACAAGTTGGAATTTAATTGTCAACAAATAATAGCAGGCCTCTGAGAATCCAAATAAAAACCTGTAGAAGGTTGGAAGAGAACATGATCAGATATTTCTGAGTTCTAGGCAGAAAGTATTTTTTTAAAAAGTGAAAAATGACTCAAAGCCTTAGTTATATAATGTAAAAAATAAAGTATTTAAACTGCTGTGCACATTCAAAATTTTGTTTATAAAATATATCAGGTTGGAGCCCGGCACAAAGAACTGAATTGCTTTATAAGTACCCAAACAGGAGTTCTGGAGAGCCCTGGTCCACATCGAACATTCAGCTCACAAGTGGATATCTCATAACTGGAGCTGGCTGATCATCTATATTCCTGCAATCCTGTTTCCTGTTTGAAGTGATAAACGAATCATAGGGAGCAAACTAGTGTTTCATCCCGTCCCGTCATTTACCCTCCGCTGAGAGGACCATCCGTCTTTGGCTCCGGGTTTGTTGTTTACGCTGGCAGGCCTGCGTTCACTCCTGCTGCCGGTGACAGCCATTAAAATTAGTTCACGCAGTGCCATAATGGTGAGCAGCTGTCACTGTGTAGACATGAGGGGTAAAGTGCTGCATTACTGGAATGTGTTGCAGTTAGGGAGGGAGAGAGATGGTAATATCAGGACCATCATTACTGTCTGGCAGAAGGATCATATTTGCCGTATTGAGATGCTACTGTCAATCTGAGAGGCTTCCCAAATCACCCGGCTCAATTTTACTGGATTTATTCATTTATTTTTAAACATTTTTACATTCTCAGTCTGGACCGGCTTTACGAAGCAAACCTCAGGATTGTTTTTGAACATCTTTCTAGTCAAACCGCAGTGAGAAGTCACATGCTTGGTCTCTGTGTATTCAGTGGAGAGAGAGGGAAAACAGGGCGAACAAACACAAGATAACACAAACACCTCAGTGGCTGCAGGCAGTTTGACTGAGTCAGGCCTTTCACCAATAACACTCAGTCCTCCTGCACTATTCAGCAGGAATAGTTATTTTCTGTAAAGATTTAAAATCATAAACACAAATTCATCAAGATATTCTTTGTTGGTAGCTGTGACCAAAACAGCCTTCGTGTCTGTTTGGTAGTTTTGGTCTGGATACCATTTTTTTTTGTCAGAGAAGCTCAATGCTTTAGACATTTTAGGATCTCCTGGATGAGTCATTGATGCTGTTTGGAAATAATATTGGTAGGGTCAATATATAACCAGCCACACCTGAGAAAGTTCATCACTGTTCTATGTTTTCTCCATTTGTGGATTGTGGCTCTCATTGTGGTTTATTTATGCTAATAGACTTATGTCTAAATGTCACTGACTTTTTTTCTCTCTCTATTTAAAAATTTTTCTAGATGATCTAAAATTTTTTACCTACTTAATGTCATCAGCCAGGTGATGTTCAAGGGATGTCTTGATTCGGATACTGAAATTTGAAATTCAAATATCTAAGATGTGACAACAAAGCAAGAACAAAGTGAATCTGGGGGTCAAACGGGGCAAATACTTTTTAACAGTATTGTAAATATTCCCCACTATTGTTCTTTTTCTTTTTCTTCTTAGAACTCACCACACCTAAAGCTCATAGTCACACAGAAGTATGGCTGACAAGTTGCTTCTCAGCTGTCAGCTTTATAAATAGACTTGCCCCCATGATGACTGGCATGTGACTTCCAGCGTCTGGCTGTAAACTTTGAGCCTTTATGGTCACATGACGGATCGACATCACAGTACAAAACAAGCATGTGAAACAAAGTGCTGCAAAACAGTCCGCCCTCAGTCAGGCTCTTTCTTATGGGGCAGCCTGACCTCACACTGTAAAAATGCATAATAATTAAAACCACCAGGAAATTATCCTTGCTGTGAATAGCTTGAACTCATGTTTGTTTCATCATTAGATATGCATTTAATTCTCTTGAACATATAAAATGAGCTGGACTTGTTTTAAATGTTCATTATAGGAAGTTTAACACATTCCTAGAAAGTCAAATGTTGTATTTAAATTTTTAAACATTTTTTTTAATAAGAACAAACCTATCTGTTTGTCCTTTTTCTGTAAACTATGACAATATTCCCTCCTGTGTTTAGAAATACTGAACTTTCAACCACTGTTTAAACTGATGCAACTAAAAATGTTCCATTTGGTCCAAAAGTTCAGTTTTGGCTTCATCTGACCTGCGTCCCCTATCTAGCTTAATTGCACAATTTAAAATTGACCTCTAATGGCTTTACTAGAACAATGTTGTTTTTTTTTTTTGTGGAGCCCACAACAAATGGTTGTCCTGCCAACAGATTCTCGCATTTGGAAAGTTATTTTCTATTTTTCCTGGAAAGACATGAAACATCCCACGGGTTTCAGTGCTGCATGCTTCATCAGATTAGATATAAAAGCAGCATGAAGTTTACCATCCAAAGCCTGCATGGATGGACTCTGCTGTTTCTGAGAGATCTAGTAAATTTCAGCTAATACATTTTCTTTTGTCTTCGCCCCATGTAAATGAACATAGATGAATTAAAAGAAAGGAAACTTATGAAGTTACATCACTCCAGCTGCCTGTCTGAGTCCCCCCTCCCTCCCCCTAATGTGCGCCCCCCCCCTCCCTCTCTGGCTGCAGCAGTTTGACTCCTACAGGTGGACTGAGTCATGCTGGCTATTGGCTTGGCATCCACCTTCGTAAGTTCGAGAGCCCTGTTTGGCTCTGCTTTCAGTCTCATAAAGAGTTGTCTGAGTTGTCTGTGTTGCTGGAATCATGATAAGCTTTTATTACCACAAACCATGCAAAAGTGAGAGAAGTACATGCAGTGCTTCCCAAAATAAATTTGCCCTCTATTTTATTTTTGATTTGTTTTGAAATCATCAAACATTTTTCTTTTTAAAATATACAACGAAAACCTAAATGAACTGAAAAGACTGTTGTCAAAATATGCTTTTATTATTAGTGGAAAAACGTTATCCAAACTAACCTGGCTCTATGTGAAAACAGAAATGACCCCTGTGTTAAATCATTATTCAATTGGATCTATATGCGAGTACCAAAGTTAAAACCACTTCTGATTGACAAGGCTTGTCTCACATTTGCCAAACAAACCCCACCTTGATTATCTACAAAACTTTTTCAAAAATGTTCTTTGGACTGACCGGACAAAAGGGGAACATTTTGGAAGGCGTGCTCAGCAACTCAGAAAAAACCCCAAAAACCCAACAACAACAACAACAACAACAACAACAACAACAACAACAACAACAACAACAACAACAACAACAACAACAACAACAACAACAACAACACAACAACACAACAACAACATACCTACGATCAAACATGTTTCATCCTGAAACTGGATTACTTGTTCTAATTGATGGGACCATAAGTTCTGCTCTCCAGCAGACGATCCTGAAGGAAAATATTCAACCGTCAATTCATTACCTTCAGCTCTCGAACATCCAGATCATAGACAACGACAAGAGTACGAAGCAAACCAGCAAGTCCACCACTGAACTGCTCACAGAAATTCATAAAATGAATGTTTTGGACTGGAAAATTAAAGTCTAAACTTAGTTCAATTGAGTTTAGGCTTTAAACAGGCTAATATTTCTTCACTCATCACCAGTTATTGCAAACATTGGTGGCAATCACTGCCATCGAGTGGATTCTTTTTAGCTATTGGGCAACTTTTTCCTTTAATAATCAACTTATAATTTTAAAATAGTTTCTATATTTTCTATTTAAAAATCTCAGTCTGATCAGGCTAAAGGTTGAAGACTGAAGCTTTTTTGGTGTGCTAAAAAGACAACAACAGAAGGGAACAGTTACTTTTTCAATGCCCTGTACTTGTTGTTTACCACTGAAGGCTTCAGTGCAGGAGTCAGAAACCTGAGCCCATGTTTTGTCAATACCATGAACACAACCATTTTATTCTGTGAAAACTGTTCCTTACAGCATAATGCAAAAGCTTGATGTAACTTTGTAAATCTCAGTCTAAATCCTAGACTGAGAACACAACTCATGGTGTCACCTGAGTTAGTTATGCAAATAAAAACTTGAGCGCAGATCAAAGGGACACTGAAGCAACCAGTCCTGATCAGAAAACCCCATTTACAGAGAAACCAAAGAAATCCTGCACAATGCCAGTGCTTTGAGCCACAAAACAAATACTGATTGCAGTGATGTGTACACAACAGCAAATGTTGTGTACACATTTGCTGTTGTTTTGAAACAAAGCAAAACTTATGTAAAAGATTTTAGAAAAAAAAATTTGTTTTCCTTTTGGGTGCATAAAATCTTCATTTGGCAACGCTTGGAAACTACCAGTACAAAGTTGTGTGCAAAAAACACTATAGTTATAAAATCACCACAATATTTGCAACTACAGAAGGATGACAAATTAAAGGAAGATATGCAGTTTTAATCAATGATCTCAATTATTGAGTTCAGAAAGGATTCAATGAAATTATATGCTTTGTGGAAACTGTGACTTTTTCCAGTCAGGAATCAAAAAGGAGAACCCAGCCCTACAAAGGAGGAAGTTTTCTCTAAAGACTACCCTGACCTTTTGGGTTGATACTTTCTGATTGGGTTGAGAAACATATTCCATGTGTTTTAATTTGGCCTTTCTGTTTGTCATCTCATCTTATTTTCCATCACAACTTCTCTCAACGTCCGGTTGCATTGGGGGAGTACTGATTGCAAACAACACTGAAGCTCAGTGAATCATGCAGCTGCAATCAGCTGAGGTCACAATGCATCCCCAGTTTCCTGGAAATACGACGGAAACAGCTCGGTGTTGATGGATTTTGTAGCAACACTGTACGGTGGTTGCATGAAACTTCCTGGTTTTGTTACTTTTAAGGTGCCAAACAGAAGCAGCTGCAACACTTCAACAGCACACTGTTGAAGAGGAGTAGCACATGTCAGCAGACTTGTCTATTTCTTATCTACCCTGTAGAGGGAAAAGTTGAAAGTTCCTGAACGTTGCTAAGAAGTATCTCAAACAATGTGATTTTTCTGTAATTTATCACATGTCTGTAATTGACAGAAAGAGAAAATACATAAAGGCACACACCCAAAAGTCCTTTGTCGCTAAGTCTTACAGGAGAGAAATATGACCTCCAAGGACTCTGACTGAGCACCCAACATGTTAAACTTTTTGCCACTGCTGGGTGGAGGGAGATCGGATCTGTGTCCCTGCGAAGAAGACCTGGTAGCGATCCTTCCACATGATGAAGGCTCCAGCGGCACAGACCAGAGCCTGCGCAAGGTTCAGCAGGATCTGGAGCAGGAAGTAAAAGATGAGCGTGCCGGTTATCGTCTCGCAGTCGCTAACCCCCTTGTAGTCAAAGGTGCGGGCTATCGGGTCTCTCTGGTCCAGCACACACACACAGTCGTCTCCTTCCTGCTGGCAGGTGAAGCTGCTGGCCTGAGAGTGGTGATGTCCAGCAAACGCTACAACCAGCAGTGAGATGACCAGGCCAGTGGTGCACAGGATAAAGTACAGGAGCTAAAGGTGGGGATAGAGATACTGTCAGAAAACAAGTGTCACCCAAAGAAGTGGCTGTGGTCTTAGTTTGGGACTGAAATTTTTGATAATGTAAACTTTGCAGCCAATTGTGAAGCAACTTGTGAAACGTGTCCTCCATTAATTGAATATTAAGGACCGGCTTTGATCAGGATTTTGTTGAATCACTTTTGTCTTTTCCTGTAGTTTGATGGTTTGATCATTTTAAGGAAATAAATTCCTTAAATCACAAAATTAAGTGATTTTCAGAGCGAGAACCTCTTCTGTATCCAGCATCCATTTACTGTACATTAATGGGTTGATATCATGTTTTAAAGTCTGAAAATTTAAGAATTAAAATCTTTTATGTCGCTGGTGTCACAGACTAACACAGGAAAACACGACCATATATGGATAATGTGTTAGCGCCAATTACAGCACTATGTATCTCTCACTATAATCACAGATGACCGTTTAATGGGAATGTGTCTAATGAGGATGTGTTTGCTTTTTGGTGTCAGAAAAAAAAGAACATCGCCCAGCAAGCCCAGACTGTTACAAACATCATTTATGCAGCAAAGGTGGGTGAACTCTGGAGCAACAAGCAGGGAGGGCTGATGTCTTTTAACCTAGCAGTGCATTGGAAACCCTTTAACTAGAGGATTATAAAACACAATCAATCTTAGATTTACGGAACGCGCCAAACCTGAGGGATGAAGGTACAACAGAGTTTATGCCTTCACTAGGGCATGTTATTCAGGCAGGTTTTGCACAGCCAGACCACTGAGATGACAATGTTAATCAAGTAAGGAATCAGTTCCTACTTTATACAACATCTGTCCTGTATTAGTACAATCCACCTGCAGATTTCCAGGATGACATTAAAGAAGCATTAATATTCTCTCTAAATCAATGTTCCTTAATATTTAGCCACAATAATTAATTCCAGCTGTTTGTTTCTCTGAAACTGGGCCAATAAAGGCAGAGTTTAACGGCAGCTGTAGTATGACACTATATCATTATTACAACTCGTTTCCATTCACCACATCTGTAGCATCAGTTGGAAGCAGCGTTTTAGGGATGGGCTATATGGATGTTCAAGTGGGAAAACCACCTGTGGATGGCTTTGAGTGACATGACAGCCGACATCCTGGAAATAACAGTTTAAGAGGTGTAGTGCTGTCAAACTCTGATGAGTAAAACAGACTTATTATGTGGAGAACATTCAAACATAAAACACTACTGCATTTCTCGCTATGATAAAGTAAAAATGTCACAACTACCAGGAGAAACAGGCTGATGCATATCTGTGAAACATGTCGGTCAGAACTGAAGCAGAAATGACGACTATCTGAAAGAAGCCAGAGTATTGTTTTATTGCAATTTTATTTTACATTTTACCTTTAATATTTTATCCTGTAGGTAGACTAAACCTTCACTTTATGTATTTAAGTACAAGCATTGATTTTGGCTTTCCAGAGGGAATACCATCAGTGGAAACTTTCGGTAGCACTGTCAACTATTGTCTTGTTCAAAACTGTTTTTTAGAGCAATTTTCACTCTCTTTTTTTTCTCCCGTTTTACAACTACAACTAATTATGCCTATTAGTCAAGTATAACGACTGCTGGGTTCATTTTGCAAAATGGCTCTTTTTCAGAGTGTCAGTCTCCTCATTCCAAGGATAATTTTCTAGTCTCCAAGTTAAGAATGGTACAACAAACAAGCTTTGTCCTGCTGTGAATGAGTGAAACTGCGGCAGGTTTCAGAAATAGTGATGTCCTAATTATAATTAATCAATTTTAACAGCTGTATCTGTTTCAAATACTATGAACATCTTTTTGGCTAACATGTTTCCTCGTGATATTCCAGGTAGCTTGTTGTTGACATGTACATTGTGTTTTTTGTTTGTCTTTTTATGTTTGATTGTTTCAGGATTAGAAATAAAGCAACCTGAATCTGAACCAGTGTGATTTTATACGGCGCACATATAATCTGCCTTTTGCTCAACCTTGTTGTCTCATGATCACCCAGAGTGCCAAAATCGTGGCTTAGAAAGAGATTCTGGCTCAGTGCCTGCTGAAAAATTCAGTTCAAAGAGATTACCCACAATACTGCCGGGCGAGGTCTGACCCTCAGCCCAGCTTTTAGCACAGAGGAGACACGACTTAATGCCAGCCACCGTTAATGGATGTCCTGTGTCGGTATTCTGACCTGCAGAGATTGTCTAAAAATATATCTGTAAAATGTGGCTTTGCTCGATCTCAATCACACTAAACCTTTCGTCTTAATCCATCACTTATATAAGAGGAGCCCTCATTCCCCAGCACGTTTCAGCCCCTGTTGGGGAATTATGCAAGGGACGAGTAAAGATTTGTTTGTAAAAGTGTTAATGTTAATTTTCCAATAGCCTGTACAGATTTGAGTGGACGAGTTGCATGAGTATGAAGGAAGCATATTAACTCGACTGACACTGTGTGAATAAGTGTTCATCTCCATTAAACTTTATCCAGTTCATTAAACAGACAGGCAGGAAGTAACATACACCTGTAAAGTGGAGGAAAATAAAACAAGGGATGGATTTCTAACATTTCTAAAAAAAAATGCCATGCCTTGAAAATGTGAAAAGTCTAGCGTGCCTGTTCAGTCTAACCTGCCTAAAGTGAGAATAAAAGAAGGCCATACATGCTCATTAATCTTAGCACAAATCCAGATGTCCTCTGAAAACCCCAGAGGTTTGCTAAAGAACATTAGAAAAACAAACTGCATCAGAATGAAAATAGCAGACAGGTTATAGATAACTCTGTGGAAGAAGAAAGCACATTTTTGCCATGCAGGCAACACAGAATTCATGTGGTGGAGGTCAGGTGACACTAGAATTCAACTTTTATGACCTGCAAGTGAAATACTATGTGTGGAAAACGAGCACTACCATCACACATACATGATACTCTATCAAGCTACCAAAGGCCATTAACACTAAGAAACATGGTGGAGACACTATCATGCTGTGTAGATGCTTTTCTTCTCCTTGGACAGCTAAGTTGGTCTTATCAGGTTCTCACTTGTCAAAGTATTTAAATACAGAGACTATTTCTCCCCACTTTTCAATGATGCATTTCTTAATGTTTTTCTATTACACTAAGTCCTGTTAATGTCCTGTAGGTTTTGTTTGCAATCTGAAAAATGTGAAAGGGGGGTATGAATACTTTTGCGAGGCAGTGCATGCATTAACTTGCACTGCCTACATACATTTATATATGTAAATGGTGCATCGACAAGCTCTGTGTGCAACTTCATCAAACGAGCATGAACTGAAACAACAAAACAGGGAGAGTGCACACTGAATCCTTTGTTGAATCGAGTCATTTCTGCATGTTTGACCTGAGCCAAGAACAACCGAAGTGAATAAGCAAGCTGCTTGAAAAGCCATAAATTCTTAAGCAAGAATGAAGATGATGAAGCTGCCGGAGTAAACAGCATCAATAAATTACAGCACATTTGTTTCAAAGGCCGGAGAAAGCTGCTCTGGTATTCACATGATTACCAGTGGAGTGTTTTGTTGATGGTACAACATCGGTTCTGAACAATAAATAGTGACAAGAGACACATTCATGTCCTGCAGAAGCATTTTGTTTGTCTGTCTCCTGACGGGTAGATCTCTCATTGCGGGACCTTTCTGCATGCCACTCTCTGCTTTACAACATGTGTAAAGAATGCAAATCAGGTTTGATTCTTATACTTTCAGTGATCAAGGCCAAATTTGTACATTTATGCTGAAGAGCTTTGAATCATCTTTACATCCTTGTAGTTTTCACATATTTCAGCACGTTGTACACCAGGGACACCGATGGACAGAAAAATTAAAGCAATCACACTTCTTTGGAAAAACAACAGAGAACTGATTTTAATTACTTAGAAATTCCAGCTGCATGCATTGCGCGGCTAATTAAGCTGTACAATCAAGTCGAATTAACGAAAGTGCTCCTCTACTCATAGGGATTCATGTGGAGCACTTTCATACAGGAATGTAGTTGCAATCTTTTCGCTCTAACAGCCTGCGTGAGCGGGTAAAAAAAACAACAACAAAAAAACATTTTCTGCACAGATCAGCTGCGTGAGATAACAAAGAAAACACCTAATTGGACTTTTGTTTTTTTCTGAAACTGACATCCACCTATTTCTAATAGGTGGATGGAAAACTCACCTTAACAATAAACTGTGTGGATGATCTCTCGTCTGGCTGGTAGGTGATGCAGTAGAGGAAGAACCCAACAATAGAAACCAAACAAAGCTGGAACAATAAGGACATTATTTAAAATCTATTAATCAGATTCAGAAAACATCAAGAAAATACTTGCTTTGGAGCAACATATGGGTGTGGCTAACCACTTCAACAATGTTACAGTCTTTAATATGAGACTTTACTTGCCATTATACATTGCATTGGAGGCACAGAAAAGAAAAACAAAAATTTGGTCTTATGAGTCTCCAAATATTGTATGATTCAGCAGTAACCAGCTCTCTGATTTCATTACTTTGCTTTTCTCCTTTCCTCTCTCTGAGACACCCACTCTCGCAGACTCACACTCTATCTCCTAAGCGCAATTGGAGTCTTGTGACCAACGTGCAGCATCTTATTTGACTGTTTTTCCCAGGTTCTTAAGCACCCAGGATACTCTGGAAAGTTCTTGATGACCTCAATGTTTTTCACTCGGCTGAATCTCGTGAGGATCTAACTCGGGATGTCGGTGTCGAGGGATGTTTTCCAGAGCCGATGGCATCTGTGATAGGCTGAATTACAGGACCAAACGGGAAAAACATGTTTGTGTGACCTGAGGCCTTACGTAAACTGTATCTATTAAAACACTTTGAACTTCTTCACATTTTGTCACAGTACATCTCCAGTCTTTAAAGTGTTTCATGGGAGCTTATATAATAAATCCAAACAAAGCAGCACCATGACATAAAAAAATCCTACTGCAGAACACACCAGCAGTAAGGGTGAAGTGCAAAAAAAAAAAACTTGGAAGATTTTGGCTTGAGTTTGGGTTACTTTCCAAGATGAGTCTCCCAGCTAAAGAGGGAGAAACTGTGAATATAAATTTTCTCTCTTATATTTTCAAGTGGATTTAAGCCTGAACATTGATTGGCCATTGCAACACGTCTATATCTGGATCATTGCATTGTAGCCCTAGCTGAATGCTTATGGCTGTTCCACTGGAAGGTGAACCTTTACCCCAGTCTCAAGTCTTTTACATTATCCTTCCATGAATGATATCCGTATCTTCCCATCAACTTTGAGCAGCTTTGTGAAAGCTCTTTCAGATTCTTTCACTTGAGTTGTTTCTATCTGCAGCTCCTTCAGAGTTATCTTTGACCTCCTGATTAATTTACTCATGATGGACTGAGCTGAGTTTGAGATATTGTTTTACAACCTAACTCTGCTTCAAGCTTCTCCACAGCTTCATCCTTGATGCTGTTTGTTCACTGATGTTCTTTGACAAAGCTCTTAGGTAGCTTTTCAAGGGCTTTGGTTGCAGTGGATTTAGTGGTATCTGAGTGAAGGGGGCTGAACACAAGATGAACATACAGTTTTTGAAAACCATACGTTGTTTTCCTTCCATGTCCCTCTTGTGCCATTCACACACAAAAATGCCGATTGTAATGCTCTTCATTTTCAAAATGTATTTTCCATCATAAAATTAATCTTTACATCTAAAAAAAGAGACTTGGCTCGGGGGTTTTAGAAATGATACAAACACACTTCTGCGTAGTGTAACGGAAATGCATGATGTGTATTCATGTCCGAGTTTGTGATAAGCCAAATGAAGGGATGGAGACGTATGCACATCAAATAACTGCAGGGTTTCTGTTGCTACTAATGTGTTCATGAGGTGAACTGGAAGACAGCACGCTGGGATTGGATGTTTTGGCTTGTCTTCCAAGATTCTTAAAGCGTCTTGAATTTCTAACTCAGACAGTAGAACATGCAGAATCATGCAGCGGAGATGGATCAGAGGCTCATATTCATTCAGAGGGACGTTTATTTGTATGTGAGCATGTATATATGATAGGTCTGCCTGTGTTGGGAAACACTGTTGTCATGCACTATGGGTCATGCAGCAATATAAGTTATGGGAGATTCAAATTCCATGCAAACAAGTAGCTGATGGAAGAGGGAGTAGTCAGAGCTTACAATGATCCCAGCCCAGTGTGGAGTCTCCCGGGCCATGAGTGAGGGGCTGATGGCCAGCATGAGGAAGGCCACGGCTGTGACAGCCACCCCTAGCAGCAGCTGCAGCAGGGCGACGAGGAGAGGGAAACGACACACTCTGCACTTATTGCCATTCTCTGGTGCTGGGCTGTCATCTCTATTCTTCTGTCTCTGCTTCTTGTCTGAGGAACCTTTCCGGCCCTGTCCCATTTTTCCTCGTGCCTTCGCACTCTTTCTGTGTTTGTCTTCAAGACTTTTTTTCAGTTCGCTTTCTTTGGGGTGGACGTGTCTCTCGGTTGCCTCCCTACTCCCTCCCCTTTCCCGTCCCCTCCCTGCCCTGACTTTACCAAGCCCAGCTCAGCTGCTATTTGAAAACAGAGAAAAGCTCTGAACTAATATGGAAAACATTTGGACTGGATTCCTACAGCAGCTCCGATGCCACATATAGAGCAGGCAACATGCTGAGGAGGAAAGGGGGAGGCAACGAGACACAAAGGGAGCTCCCAACATACGACACAGAGGGGGTTTCTCAGGGTAACATAGGGAAAGTACAGAGGGGAATCAGTAGGTATGAGTTAATAAAAAGCCAATGGGGGTTGGGGCGAGAGGAGGTCACACTTGGTTAGAGCAGGAGTGACTGTATCACTCTTTGTGTCAGGACTGTTACACAAGAGCCATATGCTGCCAGCCAGAAAACCGTCACATGACTAACAGGAAAAAGTAATGTGATCACCAGGCATGTGAGGGCATTACAAGGGCTCAGAAATGAGACTCTAAATGTGCAAAACAGCAGCAAGAGTCACTGCTGTGAGAGCTGAGCAGATCAGTGTTTAAATTCCTGCCGTTTAGCGCAAAATTCGGAATTAGATTTTGATGGTGTGACACACAGTGACTGGGAGATTAATAGAGAAGCACAAAGCAAAGCACGTGTTTGTGCACACAGCTGGGCCGCTGCCATGGTTACTGACAACGCAGCTCGGGAGGACAACCCTGCAGCTGCATACAGACTGAAGCTGCACACACTCCATTCTCCATATGGAGCTCTCTGCATAAAGAGCAGGCGTAACATTATGACCACTGACAGATTAAGTGTGTAAAATTGACTATTTTGTTACAATGACACCTGTTACTAGATGGGGCATCTTAGGAACCAAGTAAATATTTGGTTTCAAGGTTAATGAGTAAAAAGCAAAAAATAAAAACGGGGCAATCGTAAGGATTTGATCCAGTTTGACAGGAGTGTGTTCTCTTGTAGGGTGTTCCCAGACTGGAATAGTCCGTCATCAAAAGTGGACCTAGTAAGGAGAATTGTGAACTGGAGACAGGGTGATCAGCAACCCTGGTGCAAAAAGGGATGTAAAGTCTGGCCTGTGGGCTCCAATCCAACAGAAGGGCTACTGTCTCAGGTCACTGCAGAATAAGTCAAAGCTTTGTTCTGAATGAAAGTCACAGCAATAATTGGACAAATGAATTATCCAATTATTCTAAAAAAATTGGAACAGCATTGGGAAGTTCATAAATTTTAGCCATTGAATTCCGAAAGTGAATCTAATGTATTATATGCACATAGAGAGACAAATGTCAAGTTCTTACTTCTGATTTCTCCTATTATGACTTGTAGCAAATGAAAACTGAAAATTTGGTTCTTCCAAAATTTAAATATTATAGATTTAAATTTAAATCAATCTGCCTCCTTGCAGGGACTCAGATGTTGCTTGGCTGAACAAAACAGAAGCAAAGGATTATAACTTCATGGAAAGTTTTGACTTACCCTGGGTTACTCAGGTTAGCCCTTGTCAAAGTAATCCTTTAACATCTAACCACAGCACTGATGCAATCATTCATACAAAAGAGGCCTTAGATAAGTACTTTGTACCAATACTAGATATACTTTTCAATAGTCTAGCATTTCTTCTAAAAAAGAACTTTGAGGTTGGGGTGATGATGGTGGTAGGAGTTTGTCCTGTAATCATTTAGTTACAGGACAAACTCTGACTGTCTCATTTCTTGTGTCCTTGGGCAAGGCATTTCACACACCATGCCTGCTGAGTGGGTGGGTGAAATGGGTGGTACCTCACCTCTGTCAGATCTGGGCAGCTCTGGTTACAGTCCAGTAGTTCACAACCATCAGCATGTGAATGTGTGAATGACTGAATGTAGTGTGAATCACTTTGGGGTCCTCCGGACTTAATAAAGTGCTATTCAAATTCAGGCCATTTCCCCTCTTTAATGAGATGGAGACTCCAATCATCAAAATGTCATACTTGAAAACCATTCGCAACAAATCTCTCTGCAAAAAGGTAACATTTTAACTTTCTGTTTTGGACTACTGACATGAGTTAACTTTTCAATAATATTCTAGTTTATAAAGAATCAGATATAAAAACATCTGGATATGCCAAATTGACATTGCATGAACAGATGATTCGGTGTCCCAATTCTGGTCATGTTTTGTCTGTTCGACTTTGTTGAACTTTATATATTTTATCTTTGTTGTCCTGAAGCCGCTTTTCTCATTTCCTCCAAAAATAAAGAGCTTATTTCTGTGTAAATTATAATATGTCTTTTTATGTTAATCTTGGAGTAATAACTTCTTCCATGGCTTTTAAGTCTGTGCTGGTAAAAGACCAGTTTCACTCTGATGATACAATGTTAACAGCGATTGTTTTTTTTGTTTTTTTTTTGTTTTGTTTTTACCATGCCTTCTGCTTTTCTTCGGGGTTATTTCACACCCACAGATGTTCATGTCTGGAACACAGAACCGATCTCCTTCCAGAACATCATGGAAGCTGGATATGTACATGCCTCTGTACTTTCCCATACTCTTTAAAGACAATGCGTTTGTAATAGTTTGACTTTAATGGATATTGTGGATTAATATATATTTATCAAAGTAGTCAACAATATTGAGATTTTCTGAGGACTACTTGTTTAATTCGGGCTTTCAAAGCAAGTTCTCAAACTGAAACATCCAAATAATCAGTTCATAAATCAGTGCTGTATAAACGCGAGCTGTAAAGTTGGAGCAGGCGACAGTGCTGGGCGCGAAATAAGAAAGAGAGAAAAACACTTGATCCACTTCCAGAAGCTCTCCCTCTCACCTGCATTCATGCATTTTGCGCATGAATCACGTTTCAGGAGGCAGGTCGCAGCGGCGCGCACTGGATCGCTGCAGGAAGAGCGACACAATTAACTGCTGTTGCAGTCCTCAAACACACACACACACACACACACCCACACACACACACATACACGCGCGCGCGCGCGCTTGCGCGCACGCACGCAGGCAAGCGCGCGCGCGGTGTAGTAATTACTGGACTTTGCGCTGGTGCAGCCTACACGTGAGACGGAAGCTGTTCCCAGCCAGCGGCGCGCGTGCGCCCTGACAGCAGAGCGGAGCGGTTTTTTTGCAAAGTGGCAGCTCCGGCTTCTCTCTCCAGACATCAGTCTGAAACGCAGCTCCGCTGGAGGACACACTCTGCGCACCGTCTCCTTCAGCCATCCGGGTTTGAGCCGCCGAGCAACAAAACATCTCCCCCACTCCTTCCCTTCAGAACTAGAAAAGAGAAGCTCTGTACGGACAAGTGATGGATGAAAGAATACCGCACTTACAGGACAGGCAGTTCATGGAGCACGCGGATTTCCTGGGGTAAGAAAAGCTTTTGGAAAAACTCAAAGTAATTTAAAAAAAATCGGTACAACCTGTTTAACTGCTGCACTTTTCTTTACACTTCAGGATGGATTTCCCTCCGCTTTACATGTGCAAATCGAAACGAGGCATAAAGCGAGAGGACGGTGGGAAGGTACGCGCTGTTTAATTACACCATTCATGACTCTCAAGTTACATGAAAAACCACTTGGTTAATATTTAAACTTATTAAGGCAGAAGGAAAACTGTTACATTTGAACTTCATCGCCATGTCTGTCAGCAGGATGCGTACAAGTTACCGCACCGGCTCATAGAGAAGAAGAGGAGAGACAGAATTAACGAATGTATCGGGCAGCTGAAGGATCTACTGCCCGAACATCTGAAGCTCTCGGTGAGACCCGGACACTGTATTGATAAAAAAAAAAGTTTTGACGCGCTCTGAAATTTGCGGATTCCACTAAAATTCTTTGTTTCTAACAGACGCTCGGTCATTTGGAGAAAGCGGTGGTGCTGGAGTTAACGCTGAAGCATCTGAACGCACTGACTGCTGTCACCGAGCAGCAGCACCAGAAGATCATCTCCCTGCAGAATGGTAAGGGACGCATGGCACTGGTTAGGTGGTAAACATTTAAAGATAAGCGAGGTATTTTTTTTTTGTTGGAAAAAGCTATATGCTTAATCATCTCATTAGAGGAGCTCCCCTAAGAAACTAGAACAAAACTTGACAAACTTCTTGATGTGGCTTTCTAAATGTCGTGACAGTCTTTCAACTTGGTATTTTGTTTGTTTGTTTGTCTTCCCCCGCAGGAGACCGCTCATTGAAACCTCCCATCCACACAGATCTGAATGCGTTCCACTCAGGTTTCCAGACCTGCGCCAAAGAGGTTCTGCAGTACCTGAGCCAAGCGGAGAACTGGACCGCCAGAGAGCAGAGATGCGCGCAGCTCATCAACCACCTTCACAAGGTCCTGGCGCAGTTTCAGCCGGACGCACCGCCGCTCCAGCATCAGCTGCCCGCCGGGGACGCGCAGGACGCACAGAAGCCCGAATGTCAAACCAACTGCGTCCCGGTCATCCAGAGGACCCAGGGCGGGGAACTTAACGAGAACGATACAGACACGGACAGCGGATACGGCGGGGAGGCGGAAAAGAGCGACGGCAAAGACAAAGAGTGTGAGCGCAACAAGGCGGTGAAGATCAAGCAGGAGTTTGGAGATGACAGAGCGGCTAAAAAAACTAAGATGTGCTGGTCAGGGAACGGGGACCCGTCCAGACCAGACGTGGCGTTCATGAATTCTCTGATGGGATTAAGCGGTGTGGGACAGCAGACACCGATTTGCATGCCTTTCTACTTCATCAACCCGTCAGCCGCGGCGCCCTATATGCCTTTTTTCGACAAAAGCAACATTGAAAAGTACATGTACCCCGCAGCGGCAGCCCTGGCGTCCCCGTTTCCCTGGCTGTATCCCGCACACGCGTCAGCAGCGGCGGCCGCGGCAGCGGCGGCCGCATTTCCCGGCCTGTCTGCGCACCTCGGAGCCACCGCGCAGCCCAAAGACTCCCAGCTTCAAGATGACAGCGGGTCACGCGAGGCCGACGCGAGCTCACCTGAGGAGCACGAGGAAACTCCCGCGAGTGACGACGGAGAGGGTGACGTAGATGACACGTCCCCAGACAGCAAGAACAGCTCACAGGAGCAGCTTTCTGCCTGTCCAACGAGCTAATATGTCTGTGTACCTCTCTGAGTTTCTGTATTTACATTTTTTATTATTATTTAGGCTAGTTTTAAAACGGGGAAGTTCTCATGTATACAATATCTTGGGGCAGCAGGGGACATTTGTGTGGAAGCTCAAATCTGCCATTTGAAAGTATAAAATGGAACAGGTACACCATAAATATGAGTTGAAACTTTAAATCTATTAGATACAATATCATAAGTGGCTCTTGATAACGCTGCTGTCTTGCTGCAACCCGGGTTCAATGCCAGCTTCTGCTGTTTTTGCATGGAGTTTGCATGTTCTCCCCAAAGAGGGGTTGGTTCTCTCTGGGTACTCTGGCTTTCCCCAACAGCCCAATTCTCTTAGATATGGTCCTGCTGAACTGGAGACCATGCAAGGACAGGTTTATATAGACTATAATTTCAAGATTCATTGTCATACATGCACACACACCCACACACACACATATATATGTGTACAATTTAAAGTCGTTTATGAAAGAAGAACATATATTTTGACTTAACGTTAGAACTATGAAACTTAAAGTTCCGACTTTGTGTCACAAGTTTCACTTCCAAAGTCAAAACTATAAGAATTGAAGTCACATTTTTGACTTTCAATCCCCGCCTCCCCCAAAAAACTAAAATAAACACACAGTTATGTGGGTTTTGAATATAATCTACATAAACTACAGAGTCATTATTGTAATCTGAAGCCATAATTTCAATTTGGAAGAACAAATTTTGAGATATCAAGTGTTAATTCTTTCATTGGATGTTAATGTTTTGACTTTGTGTGTTTTGAAAAATTAAATGAAAGTTTATTATTTCACTTTCAAATGTAAACACACTAGACACAAAGTCAGAATTTGGACTTTCAAAGTAATAGTCATGACTTTTACTGTTAGAAATATGAAAGAATAACTTTCGATCTTTTTCTTTCTAAATTGAAACTATGAGATCAGGTTTTAACTTTGGAAGTCCTAATTACAAATTCTGAGATTTAAAGTTATGACAATCGATCGTTTTATTTTAAAATTTTGCCTAATAAAATATCTAAAGGCAGAATGTCTCTTAAGTCCTAATTCTTGTTAAAAATTATAATAATGTCTTTTAATCTTGGTTTTGAGAAATTCTGGGTTTAAGTCATATTTTTTCCTCCCAAATATATAGAGACGGTTTTACATCATACAAATGTATTCTATAACTTATAAATATGACAATTGAGTGTTATAATTGTAACATTAAAGGTTGAAATTATAGTAAAGTTATGACTTGCATAGCAAAAATCATGCCTGAAACTCAAAGTTATGATGTATCATAGCCTATTTTTTCTGAAAGTGGTGGGATTGGGCTTCCATACGGTTGTAATTTTGTGTGCCTTTTGCACTTCTGCTTGTTTCAAACAATCTGAATGACTATCGACAATGATTGACACTTCACGGCTGTGTTGTGATGCAGTTATTTTATGTTTTTTTTTAAATTCTCTGACAAAATATTTTGACAGGCAGTATTGGTGTCAAAAATTTAAGTCACCATTTCACTATGTCCCAAACAATGATATACTCCTCATAATTCTAGAGGCACTTTCTATGGGTGCCTCTAGAAAGTTTTGAAATGGGGTGGAAGCGTGGAGGGGTGGCTCTAATAATCTTTTGTTCACACACTAAAACCAAAAGAGAGACTTCAGTGTGGAAATAAGGCTGTTTGGCTTGAAAATTTGTCGCCACTACCTTTGCCTCCCCAGGACCCTCATGGTGGCACCCCTTGCAGATGTGGGAGCTGAAACTTACCTCGTCTTATGAATTAAAACAAACAAACAAAAATCAGGCAAACTCTGGTTGTAAATATTAGCCTGAAATGTAAATGTGAGCTACAGGGATCTGGAGAAGATGCATAGTCCTCATTACCTCACTCCAATGTTGCATGAGGCTAGTTGAGAGGAAAATTAACTGGCTCGTCCTGAAAATACCTGAGTGGGTCCCAACATGCACACAAAAGCTACAGATCACTTTTAATACTCAACTTTTGTTTTGGGAACAGGGCAGGAAGATGAGCCTGATTTGCTGAACCTCATCTTAAATGTTTCTTTTGAACGCCAGTGCTGTTGGAAAAAAGTTCACAAATCTGTCAGAATAATTGGAAGATGAGACTCTCAAGGATATTCTTGACCAGAATATTGTAGTGACCTCCTGTACCTCCAGGAAACATTGTAGGATAGCACCTTATAGATCTTTGTTATTGAATGTACCTGTATTTTCCCAATATTCCATGTAGGATGAGACGTTAAGTGCACTTTTTTCAGCTTTTAATCCCTTCAGTCACCTTATCATTCAGAAAGTCGATCACTGTAGTTCTTTGTTGTGTTTAGGTTTCTCTTTCAAAAGGATCCAGTTTAGTTTGTATTCATTTCATGCTGTAAAGTGCTGGCTGATAATTTTTCCCAGTTTTTGTTTCAAGCTATTTCATGGGAAAATGAAATTTGAAAAACCTGCTCTAAGCTTCAGGCAATCATTATGTGAACATGGGAGAAAAACTGTGGTCATTGCCATGTTAAGAACTTTTTTAGCTCCTGTTTTCTATTTTTACCAATACCTGCAAGTGTAATATTGTTCTGGTCTTTTTTTTTTTTAAAAAGGTTTCACACTAGAGGCACAAACCTTATTGTGCTTCACAAACATTTCAATGCGTTTGTAGGTTTTGCTTAGTTGTTTTTGCCTCAAAGCTCTTAACAACTTTACAAGTGGCATGTGTATTTGTTGTACATAGTTTTTTGCAATATCCCATAAAGTATACATGTTTTGTCATTGTTGTAGAAGTCTCTAGATTTTTTCTTCTTTTTTTAAAGATTTTCCTGAACAACTGTTGCACTTTTCGTTGGCGCTTTACACGTATGCTGTTCTAAATTATTGCTGATGAGTTGTAAAATAAATATCAAAAATGAAACTTTACCAGGGTCATCTTTTTCTTGTCCTCGAACTCTTCATGGTCTTAGAGGTAAAACGAGGCTATACCAATGAACACTGAGCAGTTTTATGTTCTGTCGTTAATCTGTCCAAAACCAAGGATAGTAATGAAAGTTCGGCAGACAAAGTGGGTTTGAACTATCATCTCCCCAGCAGAAGAATTTACAGTAAACTAAAGGTTTAAACAAAAAAGGTTTAACCCTAACACATGAAAGGCTCAGTCTGTGCAATCTGACGGAAAAACAAGAGGCCTCCTCCCAGCTTGTCACAAACCTTATGCAAGATCAAGACAATTCTTTTGCTCCTTTTATTAATGGGTTCATAATTATTCTTTTCATACATTTTGAGTGGTTACTTGACCCCATTTCTCATCTGTGTTTTTTCCCAAATAAGTCAGATACTTTTAATATGGAACAAGGCTTCTTTTTTTTGTTGAGGAAATTATTCATGATTGCCTTAAGTTTATTTTCATTCTCTACCCCACACTTCTCACTAAAATCCCACAAACATCAAGTTGGTGGATTTTCATTTTGTTTGGCCTTTGATTATGTTTTCCTACATATTTCTAGATAAATACAACATCATTGGGTTTTCTGTGAAGTTATAAAAACCACATAAAATATCACATTTTCATTTTGTTGAGCCCTGCTGAGCAAAATTAAAATATTTGGTCAGATGTGGGTTAAAAGGTCGTGCAGCAATCTCATCTAATTGGAGCATTTTTCCACATGTTTACTGTGGGCTCAATGGTGTGCTCATTAGACTACAGACTCTTTCTTTATTTCTTTTGTCTTACCATTTTTCCATAGACCATATTTGTAGAGTGCATTACTGATACTTTTCCTAACTACTGATTTTCTCACCTGAACAGTGAATCGCTGCAGCCCTAGTTTTTGGGACGTCTTTGTGACTTTTCTCATTAATGCTCTCCTTCTCCAGGCTGTCAGTTTAGAGGAATGCTAATGCTTTTTTTTATAGGTTTGCAGTTGTTCTACACTCTTGGAATATTGTTTTACACCTTCTTCTCTGCCCTGTCTGCTGTGTTCCTTGGTCTCCATACCATTTTTTCCACTAATGATTCTCTAACAAAGCTCTAACCTCTGGTTCACAGAACAGCTGGATTTGTACTGAGATTGAATGGACTGACATCATTTACCGGTTGAGTTAGATGACTTTAAAAAGGTGTCAGTTTGCACCTCATTTTTATAGAAGGTGTCAGAATTGGGTGAGAAGGTCAGGAAGTCAATTCAGATGATTGTCACATTGTCAGATTGTTAGAGTTTAACAGTTCAAATGATGTAAATAAGGAAACAGTCATTCATATCTTATAATAGCTACTTGGCTTATGACCAGTTCAGGTGAGAAAGTCTAGTGATGCCCTTAGAGTTGGTGCTGCTCAGTCCAGACGAATATCAGAAGAAACAGAAAGGACTCATCAGTTGTAACTCAGGCAAAACAAGCTGCTATTTACAAAAAAAAAAAAAAAAACACCAATGTATGGTGCTGTTACCAGTAGATGAGATTTTTGATTATTTCCATTGTTATTCATTATGCTTTTGAGCTTTTTATTTACTTGTATTACTTATAGATAGACATGTCTCTTGCAATTATCAAAACTTCAGACATTTATTCTGGAAATCCCTCTCTTGGTTTAATAATTGCAAACTATTATTCCTATGGAAATGTCTCCCTCTGTTGGTCAAAAGCTTGAACTCTTGCTCTGGTCAATCAGTGGAGTAGTGAGAAGAAAGAAAGTAGATCACCTCTCAGTTCTCAGGCCTTTGGTCTGGTGTCTACCAGTTTCTAAAATAATTTAAACACACAATAGATCCCATTCTGTGATTCTTCTTTTTCTAAAATACTTGAATTAAAATGAGAAAGTTATGCATGAAGATTGAAGTTCATGGTTCAAAAACTCAAAGAACCACTTTTTACAGCAAAACATTGAAGTACCTCAGTGGTGTGGTAACCACACCCACTTCGAGTTTCTGACCAATCACACAATAGCTTTTGATCTAGAGCTAACTATTTTGTTCTTGTATTTACAGCATTTCAGTCAGTCAGTTTCAGTCAGTAGACTTTAACTTGTCGAGGTAAACCAGTGAAAATCATCAACCTTCCACCAACAAACTTGACAGTCAGCATGAGGTATTTGTGCTGATATGTTTCTTACTTCCAGTCAAAATGGTTCTGTGCATTTGGGTGAAAATCTCTCCACTGTGGCCTGAACAACTTAAAGGACATTATTCAAAAAGTATCGAGACTCATCCAGATGCAACTTTTCAAACTTCAGTCTAACTCCAATGTTCTTTTTAAGAAAGAATGAACTTTCTCCTTCAACTTCTCCAAACAAGTCATCCTTTTTCAGTCTTTACAATTTAATATACTATATAAGGCTTATAGAGCTTAAGATATGTTGTTGGTTAACCTCTATGAGCATTGTACTGTCTATCACCATATCACCTGATATGATAAATTAATTTCCCCCTCTGTACAATGCTATGCAATTGTTTGGAAAAGTCCCCATAACCCTTCCTAGATCCACTTGATCAGAAGTCTTTGTGGTTTAATATCTGTCACCATAGTGCTACTTTCCTTCTTAAATTTGAAAACAAAAAGTGTATTCTAGTTTAATTAATTAATGAATGTATTATGTCCTTAGTCATAGATAGTTCCAGCAAACACCAGTTACACATGATTTTATTCAGATGGTTTATTGAACCATGCAATCCATGTCATATCTGCATTCTGTTACAGCCATACACAACTGGCCACAATCTGCAGTAGATTAAGGCAAGAAAAACGAAACAAGTTATTTAAAGTTGACATCTTATTAGAGCTCAAGAAGATATGAAGTTGTAAACAGTGACCACAACAATGTGAAAGTTCTGATCCAAATTACAGTACACGTGTTGCAAGTAAAAAAACAAAAAGGAAAAACGATTAGGAACATAACAGTTGCATGTGGTATTACGGTAACAATACAGTGACAAAGTACAGATCCTTCTTGATTAGTTTGACATTCCTACAAAACACTGAAAGAAAGGTTGTAGTTTCTTCTGCTCACGTTGCATACAAGCACTGAATTCTACAGTTGTCTTGATCTCAACTGATGATTTTTCCAACAACGCCCTCCACAACACCTCCTCTATGCTGTATCTGGAAAACACCATTAACAATATGAGGATAAGGCACTTTGATGTGTTTAGCAGCTTATCTACAATCTAAGTGAAGCTTCATAACTTGGCTTTTCTGCACTTGCACATAGGCAAATTTCTTGAATCGCTGTCATATATGCAGACAAACATTCATTTTTCATGATTTAACAAGTGCTTCAAACCTTTAAAATTCCACACTATGTGTGCATGCATGCAGACAAATGCACACAAGCCATTTTAATTACATACTCACACTCTTACTTCATGTCATAGCTGCAACTGTCCACTTTATGACTACCACTGCCAGGTCGACCAATCGGCTTTGAGAACTCTCTGCACATTCAAAGATGGCCACCAGCACAATCATGCAACAAGCTCAATCTTTGGCCACACACAATCCATAAGATAAACAAGCATAAAATACATTCAAAACAAACAAACAAACAAAAAAAATATATATATTTTGTTTGTTGTGATTGAACAACAAAAAAATACAGCTAAAAAGGAGAATTAACACTGGTTTAATATGCAGCCATTACTGCAGGAATGCACAACTTCAGAATAAAATGCACTCACTGAATAAAGCTAAAGAGTACAAACATCTACAGTAAGCCTTCATTTTGGTAAGTACACACATAAACATTCAGTAACAAAAATATGAACCATTTGTGCATAGTTTTAACTTGAACCAACAGAGCACAGGGAGGGATTGTTCACAGTTCTACTACAAACAAGTGGATCCTTCACTTCAATAAGAACCAGACATTTTGCTGGAGAGAAAAACATACATATACAAAGATTCTCATGGTCGCTTTCTAAAAGGCAAAAAGATGAATATAAATCATTCAGCAGGTAGTAAAGTGAAAGTACAATAAGTGGATATGCTGATGGAGGAGGTCCACAACAGCCTGATGTTTCAGAGAGAAATGGAAAACATGGGTGCACCAGTCGGTAGGGTGAGGTGGGGTTTTTTTCCTGACCATATCTGCCAACTGGTGTTTTCTTTCATTAAGCGCTCAATTATTTCCATTCCGAGATTGTATGTTTACCGCATCTTTACACTTCACACTATAGGACACCTCTTCAGGTTTAAAAACAAAGAATGCATAGTCTTGAGCTGCAGAGATGTCCTGCCTAGAGTCAGTCCTGGGGTCAGACGTAGATCCCCTCTGGGTTCAGGCCAGAGCTAAGAGGGTTGGCAAGAACGCGGAGGTGGCTGGACACAGGCTGGGTGGACATAGGACGCTTCAGAGAGCCAGTCAGCGCCGCCAAATCTGAGCAGGAAACAAGCAACAGAAAAATATAAGACTGCACTTCAGCTTTTAATTGAGCAGTGTTTTCTTATTCAGCATTGAGATGGTGCACGTCAAAATTTAGCAAACTTTCACACAACGACACAAGAAAATGCTTTAAAGAACTCATAAAAGTGACAAATATTCCACTCGACAATCATAAGGTTGACAATTTGACTCATTTGTTTCTTAACCACCTATTATTTCTAATACAGTTTCCTTTAAAATACATATGAAAGACAGTAATTTCTGTCAATGCCTTACAAATTTGTCAGAAAATTTCAAGGGAAAAAAAAAAAGCACATGATGTTATACACTCCTTCTTTGGAGCCACCAGGGGGCAAGGCTGAGCTTTGCAAAAGGAGTGAAGTCAATTTTATGGCACAAAGAAAATTCATCATGCTAACACTTCTATGCAAGGTTATTAGAGGATAATCAAGCACTTATTAATTTGCATAATGGAAAGAATAACAGTGAGCGTGTCATGTAGAATCCCACATCAACAGTTTTATAAAAGAAGCAGAAAAACTAGATG